CCAAGCACAGACGGGATCACGGGGACCCCATCCTGGAAGTCGCACAACACCAACAACACCCAAACTCTTCGTGATCTCTTTGACGCCTTTCTGCCAAGTCATGTACTGTCCACCTCGCGGTTTGCGCCATCCTGAAGGAGGCACGGAGAACAACACTCGTCTCGGTATACGGTGTTTCGACATGCGTAGCACATGATCGAGCCATCGTAGTCGATGATGCTGGATGTTTTCCCGGATTGAGGTGTCTTCAGAACAACCAAATACCTGTTTTCTAATCACCTTATGTCCGCGTAGATCGGAAACTTAGTGGACCCGAAAGTTCGCAGAAATGAAAGACGCAAAGAATTCTGGAAACGTGCGCAAATTGTTCCACTTGATTCGTTTGACTGGTCCTCGGAAACATCTTGTCAGCGAAATAATCAGGGACCAAAATTGCTCCCCGATATGCAGCAAAGCAGAACGTTTGGACCGCTGAGCACAGTACTTTGAGTAGCAATTCAGCTGGACAGCTTCCACCTCCAATCCTGAAACCTGGCCTTCAACAGAAAGAGGGACCGTAAATATGGAGCCGCCTTCAGTCTCAGAGCTGAATAGAACACAGCATTAAAGACGCTGGCGTCAATGTAGACCCGGTGGAAAGTGCATAGGCCCATAGAAAACTGGTAGCTTGTCCAATCCTCGGAATACGGCAATCGGTTTAAGTTTCAAAGTAATATCGAACCTCCTTTGTTGTAGCTCCAAACAAGTGCTAATTTGGAACACCCGCTCACAACTCACCGTCAGAGTGAGTCAACGGTCCTTGGAAGATATCCAACTAACTGTTTGTTTACAGATGTGATCCTCATGGTATCACTGCCGGACAGGTATCAGTTGAGGGACAAAAGGAGTTACGTCTATGCAATTTTACACCTATACGATGTTATGTGATATCTTGAATATCGTATCAAATGAAGCATAAGGTGACCTGATGCAGCAAATTCAGTTGCAGAAGGACATCATAAGCGAGAGATTCAGTTGCTTTTTCGTGAAAACCAAACTGTATGTGATTCATTTTAGTTGTTGAATCCCCTGTAATGGGGGTTTAATTAGAACGTAAAAGTTGACGGAAACTGGGGGGCTGCGCCTACCTGATGAGCACCAAGAAGAGCCGGCGAAACCGGTCGTGGGACATCGAAGAATGTTCAGCATCCATATGAGTCAAAGAAACTCAGGAGGGTTTCAATTCACTGTTCATTTGCAAGTGGTAAAATCCCTGTAGTGTCACTGTTGGATGAAGGCTCGTTAGAAAACGGAAGGACTGTGTCCTGTCACTAGTTGCTAATATCACAGTTAACACAGTCCCATGTGACAGCTTCTCCGTTACAGGGGTCAGTAATCTAAATGATCAAAACGTGTGCCTCAAATAAACTTATCCGATGCTAGCTTCAGACTAGAATTTGAGCTACAGATGCTCATATTCTCGCTATCCATACAACCTTCCAATTAATTTGACAAACCGTAACTTCCAATTTACATCACAGGAGAACGTGGTACTTGACAGAATAGCCCCTTAAAATTGGGTATCCAAGTCAGTGTGGAAGGTTTTGAGATGTGACGCATCAGAGTGGTTTTAATGGTGACATACGTCGGTTAGTATTGCACTTTTCAAAACTTCAATAGACTTTATGATTCCAAGATGAATTTCTGCGCGGCGGAGACTTCCAAAGTCTGCTGTTACCCTAAAGTGGGGTAGTACTCGCACGAGTGAATTCGATCTACAAATTATATATGTATCGCGATATCTCGAATATCGTAGCGAGTGAAACATGAGGCGGCCTGGTAAAGAACATTCAGTTGCCTAGAAACATCAAAAGCGAGAGATTCAGCTGGGTTCCAGGTGAATCTCTCGAAAAACCAAATTAGTTTGCGAATGAGTGTATATTCACTAATGTCGTGCAATTTGGTTTCAAGTGGAACATAAGGTTTACACAAACTTCGATACTGCACTTACCTGATGAGCCCCAAAAAGAGCGAAACCGGTCGTGGGCCGTCAATGAGTTTTCAGCAACCTTATGAGTAGTGCATTACAAAGTGAATATGCTCGCCTCTAATCAGAACAGACATAAGTGCTTATCGGCATAAGCGTTCTCAAGGTATTTTTGCACCAAAAGTCCCATAGAAAAATCTTTCTCCCATGAAAAATCTTCGGGATCAAGATTCATTATATGTTGCTTTGTTCGGGATCTATCAGGTGGACCCGAAACATCAACGGAGGTGGTCATAATCCAATCACCCGAAAGTTTCTCCGTCTGACAAAGCTTACTGACGCAAAAGTCGTAAGTGCCGACAGAAAATACTTGGGACCTGCAGCGTTGAGTAAGGTCGACGACACAACAACCACACTGGATGTCAAACAAATTCAGTGCGATGGCCATGTGTGGAAACTGGGTAAGTTTTGTCCTCTAGGAGCAACCAATCTATGCTGAAAAGCTGAGAAGCATTGCACAACCGTTTCATCCATCCATCCAAGAAGCTGTCATTTGAGGACACAGGAAACAAGTGACTATGTGATGTGTTTTCCATGAATAAAGGTTGACTACCACTCAATCCTGTGCTGATCAGTCGCTCGTGACCGAACTGCTTAGAGTTTGCGGATTCGAGACTCCCCAAAGTTTCTTGAGATGTGAACTGCTGATGATCTCCAATAAAGATGAAACATCTGTGCAGCGCTTTTTGGATTTCGAATATACAATGGCTTCACATGCAAGACGAATGGAAATTCCCAAGTCTCCCCAAGCCATCACCTAATCAATAAGTAGCTCAAATGTGGGGTACTTCTCAAGACGAGCAAAACCTCCATCGGAGGATTCGCCTCCGGACGCATATGCGGAAAATCTGAATGGAAATTGACAACTTGAGCACCATTCTCATCGATTGGCAGCCATATCTTGCAGCGTCTCTAAGCAACACTATCAAGTCAAGAACAGTTTTGGTGGTCTGGCCAAAGTGATTTTGTCCTAAACTTAGTCCGGTGTACGCCCAAGAAAAAAAAATTTTCGTTTGTACTTTTTGTGTTTTGGACAGATTCGAAGTGGAACTAACCGTTTTGGATAGTAGTCGGAAACGAAATCTGCATGCTTCTTGCGTTGCAAAAGTAATTTCGCAGGGCAATCTATAGTGTCAGATATATTTGTATAAATCATTCCATGCAAAGAGGCTGTTTGAGCCAGATAAAAAGTTACGTGATGGACTAGATTTAAGCCGGTAACCCAATAAAATTCTCTCACTAGTGGCTGATCAATTTCACGGAGGGTTCTGGGGTGCTGATGGTCAAACCATGTAACAGTTTGTTACATCTTGACTTGGGCCTTGCAATATCCACACCTGTCATGAAAGGACCGGAATTTTTGTTTGGGTGGGCAATGCGCCACAGTTTTCCGCTGGAATATGAACCATCTAAAACCTGACCTCATCACAGGACACGTAGGCACATTTCTTTTTCGTCGCGGTCGGAAGCGAGAAAACATTTCAAACAAAAAAACCTTTGTTGTTTCATAGCGTACCGCTACTTTGCCATAGACCACATACCTACATCGTCCATTCAGCAGCTTTGACTTGGGAAGCAGTAGAGTTTCATAGAAAGCCATCAAAGGCTCATGCATTCATTTCCCTATTGCTCGTCACCGTCGCTTGACTTTCCGCCGTGTCCAACACCAGCAGTCAGACCAACTTCATCACCCACACAAGCCACTCCAGCACAACTTTAAGGGTTCCATTTTCCGAGCTGAAACATTCAAATCAGGGATGACACAGCCCAGTTTTTGGCTCTTTTAGAGAATTCATCTGATGTTGAACATGGGACCAGTTGGAAGTGGCTTTAATTTTGACATATCCCATGATCATTGTAGGTTCCCTTGCGGTGAGATGGCTCAGCGGTTGGAGCGCAGGTCTACTGACTGGAACTTCAATGGTTCGAACCTGACCTTTGCCTCACGACTTCCCATGTCTAGACTTGGGCAACCTGGCAGTATCCCAGTCCCGTGCTTCCTCCTGGTGGCATGGCAGTTAGGCACCGAAAGGGTGTGACAGTTGAACGACTTTTTATTTACGATTACAGATTCTCAAGCGTCGCGAAGGCTGCTTACTGCTCCTATGTAAACACATATTGTTTGTACATGTCTGATGCGATCCCTAACAAGCATAACATGATTCCTGAAAAGTGTTCATAATTCGAAAGAGTATGTTTGTAGCCGGGAAATTCATTGCTACTTTTCGTTCGGCAGAAGGTTGGGATTTCTCGACATAACACGCACCGAATAAGACTTCCCATTTCTGCATCCTCACGTGAAGTCATTGATCCAAATTCATCTTGGTCTTTGGTTTGTTCGGAAAGCTGGATAATTAGGCTGTAAACAGTTCATGAAGATGACACAAGCATTGATGTACACTCCTACGCTTCACTTCACAACGAAGCGTGTGAGATGGTATTCTCGAGTATTCACCAAATGTTTGCGGGCTATTTGCCAAACTCCGTGAACAGATCAGTACATTACAAATATATGCAAGTATCACGATATCTCGAATATCGTAGCGACCAAAAAATGAGGCGGCCTGGTGTAGAACATTCAGTTGCCTTAGAACATCACAAACGATAGATTCAGCTGAGTTCCAGGTGAGTCTCTCGAATAAACCAAATTAGCTTGCAAATGAGTGTATGTTCGCTAATTTCGTGCAATTTGCCTTCAAGTAGAACATAAGGTTGACGGAAACCCAGGGACTGCGCCTACCCGATGAGCCTACACAAGAAGGACGAAACCGGTCGTGGGCTGTCGACGAATATTCAGCAACCTTATGAGTAGTACATTACAAATATAGATCAACACCTGCCACACCATACATTGGTGAAACTGATTAGCGTACGATATCAAGGTATTCAACTATGTAAATGCTGTCTGCATTTACGTGGCCGTTCAATTTCACCGCCTTGGCGCTTGAGGGTCATGTGACCTAAAGGTCTGCCAAACTGGTTTATCGGGACAGATGCATGAAATGAAATCAAAACTCACCGCGGACGTAGTTTGTTCCGGCCGAATAATTCGCGGTGTTAACTAACTAAAAGTTACTAATCCCATTTTCTGGCAGACAATGTGTGAACATGACGTTCGAACAAACCCATTTCACTACCAGGTTGACTAAACACAGCAAAAATAGTGACCCATTTAGCACACTAGCTGGTGTCTGAATTTCCCTATACTGGGTTAAATTTCCCGGTGTCGTATGATTAATGGACCACATCATCAGAGAGTGTCACCCATAGGGTTTTCTCGCTTAATTGTCAAGTGCGAGTTCCTATGCGAACCAGTTTCCATAACGCCCAGTTTGCATCGCGCCTCCGTGACAATGGAAACCCACCTTACACGAACACGAAAATATGTCAACGCTCAGCCATCAGCTGACGCTGTAGCTAAATGTGAAGATCATTCGCCGAAATGTGAAGGATAATGCAAACAATTCAAAGCCTCCTAAACTAACATTTTGGGTTCAGAGCTGTACGTTAGTGTGCCCGAACGGTGGCACCTTAGCAAATGTGTGCGCATGCTGATGAAACAAGCAGCGTTCTTTTTAAAATAATATACTAGGCGGCTTGTTGCTATTTAGGGCTTTAACAGTCAAAATATAAAATAAAATGATTGTAGTCCTAGACCAAAACCTGCTTTAAGGTCACGGTCGAACTGTTGCATTATTGAGCGGTATTCACAGGATGCTAAATAGCTCTTCCAACACTGAAGGTTGCTCTGTGGCTCTCTAGTTATTCCCCACATGACAGTATAACGATTGAAAGGAGTCATATGTCAGGCTAAACATTTACTGTTCTCATGCCTGTAGCTTACAAAAGATCTCAAAAATATCCGTAATCGCTATTATGTACAAATGAGAAGAGTAAGTTCAACCGTTCCTATGCCTGAGCTCGAGATGGCTCGGTGGTTAAGGTGAGAACTTACTGACCGGAACATTCGTCGTTCAAACCTGACCTCTGCATCTTCACTGCTCCAGTCTAGGCTTGGGCAACCTGGCAGCGTTTCGGGTGACATGGAAGCTAGGCACCAAGAGATGCTATTACTGTACTACCTTTTTTCTATTTTTGTATTGAATGAAGTAATGACTCAGCCGACACATCATCACTAAGAATACAGAGCCGGGTAATCCGATGATCCCAATATGTACATTATTAAGTACGTAATAAGGATAAATTCTGTTCAGATTTATCATCATCAAACAAGACTGTCCTAAAAACCCACCACCTAGTTAAATCGAGTCCTGCTTATTTTTCAGTGTGTTGCTTCTTGCGACAGACCAATTGACAGCTCAAGTGTCAAGCCTCTTGTTACTCCAATTTTTGCTTAGTTCTTTTATACATGCATTAAACGTGCTCAGATCACCTTGCATTGGCAAGATTGTCAACTTGACAATGTTTCTACCCTACTCTTAGAGTCAGAGCTGTCGAAAGTTGTCCCAATGAGAACACAGTGTAGTTCCCTTGGGAGAGCACCTGGTCCTCAAAAAAGCAACTTTNGGTGAGAACTTACTGACCGGAACATTCGTGGTTCAAACCTGACCTCTGCATCTTCACTGCTCCAGTCTAGGCCTGGGCAACCTGGCAGCGTTTCGGGTGGCATGGAAGCTAGGCACCAAGAGATGCTATAACTGTAATACTTTTTTCTATTTTTGTATTGAATGAAGCAATGACTTAGCCGACACATCATCACCAAGAATGCAGAGCCATATAATTCGAATCACAATATCTAGACTATTAAGTACGTTTTAACCCATCATTTAAAAGATATATTCTGTTCAAAGTTATCATTATTATTAAGCAAGACTATCCTAAAATTCCACCACTTCCTTAAACCGAGCCCTCCTCATTTTTCAGTGTGTTGCTTCTTGCGACAGTCCAATTGGCAATTCGAGAGTTAAGCCTCCAATTTTTGTTTAGTACTTTCATCCATGCATTTAAAAGTTCTCAGATCATTTAGCATTGGCGAGAATGTCAACATGACAAAGTTTCTACCCTACTCTTAGAGTCAGCGCTGTCGAACGTTGTCCCAATGAGGACACAGTGTAGTCCCCTTGGGAGACCACCTGGTCCTCAAAAAAACAACTTTGGTTGAGAGTACTGCCCTCGTATTTCAAAATTCTGACAGGCACTGGTTGCAAATGGCGAAAGATTCACCGTTATCTGGCATCATAGTCAGACATCATCATTCGTTTGTACCTTGGATATACATGCGTCACACTAGAAGTTGAAAGATGAGATTCTACGCTGTTTGCAAATTATCACGTATTTCTGTCGAACATCATTCCAATTAAACACTCACCTTCACAACGTTGCCCTCCTGAGTGAAGTTCATAGCCAGCATTACACACACAGTGTGCGTCACTGTATAAACGCCACTTTCCATTGGGTAAACAGAATGCTTGATTCGTTACTTTTGAGTTATTCAACTGGACCGCACCGTCAATACACCGTCCTTCGATGGACTGCAGTTCTCCCGTGTGTCCGGAAGGCGTTTCAGGAAACTCAATGAGGTTTACCTGTATTCGGGAAAAAAATCAAATGTACATGTGCTGAGTAGCAGCAACCTTGAAATCTCTCTTCGAGACAGTGTACCGAGTTGAAATTTCTTCATATCGATCATTTAGAAATCACTCAGATGTGTGCTTCTGTTAGCCTTAATTCAACTGATTTTCCTACCTTGTGAGAAGCAGAACGAATCTCCACGTGTAATATTGCTGAAAACTCCTAGACAGACCACAGCCGATTTCGCTCTCCTCGACACTGCCGAATCATAGCACCCGAGTTTAGTCGACCATAGTTCCCAGTTGAAAACTAAATTTTACCCAAGTAACAAAAATCATTGGCAAATTAAATTGGTGCTATTGCAATAGTCAGCTAAAACCTTACTGAATCTCTCGTTTATGATATTCTTCAAGTGAATCCGCTGCGCAGTACCTGTAGTTTGTCAATGAATCTGCATCAAACATATGAAGAGAGTAGTGTGCTGACTGAAGGCGTTCTTATGTAGCGGATTCAGTTGGAGAATTCCAGAAACCAGAGATGCAGTTGGGTATCAGTCGGTTCGTCCGTTAACCAGAACTGAAACTATCTAGTGGTGCTCACAATACTCGAGAGCCCAGAATCTGTTTCACTCTTGGAACCAGATGGGTAGGTGTGGTCCCCTGGTTGCCCTAAACATTCCAGTATGAACACTGTCCTGACGCGACTACTCTGGTTATTTCGCACCAGAAGATGGCGGAGCCTCGGACTCGAGTTTCACTCCTAGTGAAGCTCATCAACAGTGCCACAACCTTGATCGTGCTGATATGTGAACTCCTGGCGTCTGACAGGCTAGACGAGCATGTTTTAACCACCAACGCATGCTGGGCTCATCCGAATTTCTGCGTCTGAACGAGCCAAACTGTCTACACGTGACCGGTGTGATTGGTTGGTCTGATGCCTCGAATGACGACCCAGTGACTGTCCTGACTGTGTCGGTCAAATGAGTGCAAACTGAGGTCGAAATGGACGTGATGACCCAACCGTCATACCAAAACCTTGACGTGACCTTCACCAGCCATTCGATGTAAAAAATCTGTATTCGTACAAGCACGCTATATTGACGCATAACTGCGTTCGCCAGCTGGATACAGTGCTTCCCGCAACCACCTGTTCTCTTCGAAAATTGAAGGCAGCTAACTGCGCAGTTCTATACGCAAACGTGTATAATAAGCAAGGGGGTAAAAATTCGTCACAAAACAAATGCGAAACAATCTGAATGTCAAGACAAGACAAAACCAAATACTTGGTATGGTGCCTGTCATTCACTGGCTATGCAGAGTGGAAGCAACTTCTGACGTAATCGTGGGGCTTGGTTTTAAACTGCCGACAACATTTCCTGTTGTAGTCACCCATTTTTGAGTTCTACTTGGACGCCAAACTAGCTCGGGCCGAGTGCCAGGATTTGAATTTGAATTTTGGACACGAACACAAAGTGCAACAGAAAAAGGAATTATACTATCCTACCCTCGTGCTTCCTACGGGTGCTATGGTAGCAAACGGGTGTTGCAGCTGAAAGATTATTAATAGTACAAGAACTAATTTCAAAAAAGTGCGTCTTTCAAAAAATCCCATCAATAACTTGTTAAGCAGAAGGCCTTTTGAATTCGACACCAAATCAAAACGTACTTTCTGCGTATCACACGATACGATTTTTGGCTATTATATGGAACTTGAGCTCGGTCATGACTGGGATATATGTTAAAGATTTTAAAGATGTCATTCAGCTGTAACACCCTTCCGATGCCTAGCTGCCATGCCACCCGAAAAAAGCACTGGGATATTGCCAGGTTACCCAAGCCTAGACAAGAGAAGTCGAGATGCACAGGTCGGTTCTGAATAATCCGGTCGACAAATCCGCGCTCTAACCACTCGTTCAGCTGTATCATTATTCCGGTGCGTAGCTGCCTTGCCGCGAGAAGGAAGCACTCGGGCTGTGATACTGCTAGGTCACCGAAGCCTAGGCGAGATAACTGGAGATGCAGAGGTCGGGTTCGAACCACAAACCCTCCGATTAGTAAATTTGCGCTCTAACTACCAAGACATCTCACCACGTGGAAGATATGTAGCTGCTGAATATATATTAAACAAAAACAGAGAAGGGGTGAAGTTCGCTTCAATCAAACTCTGTAAGTGATAAACGTTCACTGGTGTTGGAGAATTTGGAGTTACTTTCCCTCTTCTCACCCTCCCAAATTTTGGCAGATCGGTGATATAAAAGAGGTATACCAATGGTATCAATTTGTGATCACTAGCTGCCTCGAAGGACTTCCTTCCTTTAAAATGTTTGTTGATAGTTAGTTGTGGATCACACATTTGTTCAAGAGATATTTTCATGCCTTTAAGCAATTTACGCTCATTGTATTACACTCTGACAGTACATTCATATTGCTTTCTATCCTTTTCCAGACCTTGGAAACAACGCTCACTCTGATTTGCTTGTTTCAAAGTATCTTAAAAAGGTGAGTAGTTGACGCGGATGTGTGGACAGAATATTCTCTTATGTAGTTATTACCAAATCGCTGAAAATTGGCACAGCTTATCTATTTCCGCTGCTGTCGAAACCTTGCAACCTCTCAAAAGCTTGATATTTAAGAAAAAAAGAAGTTTCATTCTGTGAGTTAATTAAACCCATGCTGAAAAGCCTAAAAGCACTGCAAAACTATTTCACCCGTATTGGGAATCATCAATGCGCGTCTCACGAAATCCCAGTAGAGTTCGAAACCGGCCACCTCGCGGCTGGTAGTTTGAACATTAGACTGTTTGTCCAAGAGCGCTTGATCAGCAGATGGATTGGTTCGCCCTTCAGCAGGTTATAGCGCTACTCATCTCTTGATTAGAGAAACCACATCACGTGTTGAATCGATCCTAGATAGATGAATTCTCAGATCGACGTTTTAACCCCCTTCAGCAGGTTATAGCGCTACTCATCTTTTGATTGCAGAAACCACATCACGTGTTGAATTGTTCCTAGATTGATGAATTCTCAGATCGACGTTTTATCCACGGGATGAAATTTCTTCTTCCGCTAGACTACTTATAAACTCTTGATAGTGTGAGGAGACCTGGCTGAGTAGTTGTTCGTGACCGATATTTTTTACTGTCCAAACCACTGGCAGGCAGGTCAGGGGTTCGAGAATGTATGGAATTTCTTGAGGTGCACTATGCGGATGATACCCAAACGGGATAAAACACGCGTACAGTGCTTCTCGGTCTTTCGGAATAGCCTGGCCAAGCGGAAAGACTTAAAGGTACCAAATCTGTCTACAGTCCCGATAAAAAACCCCACGTTTGCGTGCTTTCCCGTCTAAGTCCCATCAGTCTGTCAATTGGTCGCTGGCCACATTGGCAATATCGACCGTCAGTCATTTATTCCAAAGCACTCATCGAAGTGTCGGACGCTTTCATTTAATACATGTTATATTTCAAAACATTTCCATTTAGTATATCTGCTGTGTGACCATCAGCCGTTTGACTGTGAACCACCCAAATGTCGGGCTACCGAAGTCCCATGTCCCGGCTCAAAATAGAACGGTGTCACGGGGAGTCCGTTGAATAGAAAAGTGGAAACAAAACAAAGCCTGCTTACAACCGAAGAGTTTTCCTGTTATTAGCCTCGTCATGTGAACGGACTTAATGCCGTCAACCTATGGTGCACTGAGTAGGGTAGAATTTTCTTTTTTAGTGAATAGTATTCGTGGTCAGATTGCATTCGAAGTGCATTAGTGGTTGGTCGGGAAAACTTCCACCGATGATTATTCTGATAAAGCGACTTAATCTCCCACATCTTTTACCGAGCGGTAGTCACGGTGGTCCTTATTTGAGTGCTTACCATTGTTTTCATCTAGTATCTAGTACGCTGATTGGTCGTCTCTGATGGAAAACCTAGCCCAATTTTCATTCGTTCCGATATAAGCGCCATGCGTATCACTGATTACAAGCATATGAACCAAACAGTGATGCAAACGCCAAAACAGAGCGATTTAGTCGCTCTAGCTCGCATTTCTCGCTCCGCATAAACGAGAATAGGCAAGTTCAACTTAGCTGTAGAACTTCAAACCAGGTTAGACTGAGAGATCAAAAATGCTGTAGCATCTACCATCCACCAGTTCCCCTGCAGTTGCGGGGTCCGTGATATCATCGGAAAAGACTACCGTCTCTCTCAGGGGATTGTGGGACACACACATCTAATGCACAGCTTGAGGGATTGGTGGGTTGGTGGTTAGTCTATCACCCAAAAGCAAGCATGGACGATACTTGTCGCTGGTTATCCTGTTAACCCTCCGAAAATATAAATTGACGTAGCCGGTTTTATGTGTGGAGAACTCACTAACTCACAACATCTCTCTAACATGGTACCGAACTCCAAATCATCTCCATTTGTTCTGAGCGTCTTCAAGGGTTTTCTCAAATTGTTAGTGTCGTCTGATCAAATTATAAACGCGCGTCTTATGTTATATGTCTTATATTACGCTTACTTCGTGAAATTTGGGATCAACTAGAATATAAGGTTGATGGAAACTCGGAACTAAAGGAATCTTTCTTCGTTCGTGGACACTTCAGTTCAAGGTCAATCAAATCCGCCCATACATTCCGTGGACTTTTGCCTACGTAGTTTAAATACGGTTTGGATCAATAAAACATCCTCACCAGTTGCGATTATGTCTTGCAATAAATTGTGTTCATCATGAACGCAAGTAACTGTTTCGAAGTAGCCTTTCATTATTACTTTCATTAAAAGATGTGCCAGTCACACGCTGTTTATCGAAGTAGTTCGAACTCACCATCTTCTTTAAATAAATCGATAAATGGCCGTTCCATCGTACGTGGTAGTATAGATTACGAAAAATAAAAATTCCTTTTCGTCTGAAAATAGCACATATTCCATACTGAAAAGATAAACGATCACATGCTACGCGCTCAAGTTCAGCGCCGTCTCCGATAAAATGGACCATGAACTTCGTTCACATACCCGTTCCATTGGCAAAATTCACAAAGCTATCCTAATCAATAATTCGTGTAATTGGGGTATCATCAGTGCATTCGCTGAACCATGTTCGTTTGATGTTTGGATGATGTGATACAGCAGACAAATTCTGTAGAAAACAAAAGATGCTTTGCGAAACAAGGTTCTGCAAAGAAATTGAACGATAAAGCTCGCTGTACCAACCAATGGGATGGCAGGTCATACTTATTCGATGCCCAAATACTTCGTGCACTTTTTGCCTGGTGCCGAAAACTGCTCGGCGATCAGCTGGTCAGCAATGTAACTCGCACTTAGGGTATACTACCGGTCATCTCGTAACCACGGGATCCACATCACGTGGGCATGAGTTGACTGACTCCTCAAGTGACGACTTACCAGATGAGCTACTCATATCATGCTGGTAGTATTGGGACGTTTCGGCAGTTCCTGCTCGAGTTCTGATGTTATAGGTGGAGTCCATCTATTCTGAAAAGTTGCAGATGACTGCAGGATCTACAAAATTCACATTCGTATCAGTTTTTATCCTCTTTTTTCCTCTCTTTTATCCTCCTCTTATGCCATTGTATGACCCTGAAAATTCCAGTATATTGACGTCTGACAGGGTAATTGAACGTGTTGCCTTCTCCACCCGCACTAATGGACAGAACTGGCTTATCACACCTGGACAAGCATACGTGTTTAAAATTGAGCACCTCGAACTTCGATTCAGTACCTTCTTGGTTGAGCTGACCGCTTAATCCGCCCCCCCCCCCCCGTCAGGTAGGGCCGCCGGAGCTTAAAGCCTCCCGGGAACATTGGATTCAACCTATATGGTTGCGGAATTTGCAGAAAAGCCGACCAACAATGTAAGTTGTTTTGCTTCTGTTTGAAATCTCCAGTGCCTCGCAACTTACGAATCTCAAGGGGAATTAATACTCGCAGCTTCCCATTGATTGACTAACGAACGTACTATTCAGTCACTGGCGTCTGACAAGCACTTGAACGAAGAATAGCTTCAGTTGTCTTTCACTAGCACCATGAACATCACCCAGCCGGTTCTCCGAGTGATGACTTTTCAGCTAGAAAGCTTGTGATCTGAGATGTCTTCACTCGATAGGTCCGACTGCTTAATGTGGACGAGGTGACTGAAGGATGAGTGATGCCATATCCTAAGTATGATTCAGTCACATGATTCAGTCACATTTGCTGTCAAACGTTATGGACCTTAGGCGCTAGTCTAGGGGTTTCGAGGTTCAAATCCGTTTGGGAATAGGTGGGATGAGTATTACTGATTACTTCCAACGGAAACAAAAGAACCGTGCGGTGATGGATTTTACTGACAAGCCGAAACCTCTGTTAAATTAGTTCAATGTGAAAAATTGTTACAGGAAAGTGAAGAAAATCAAAGTTCATTAGTTGACCTTGATAAACATCACGCAATAAAAACAGTCATGCACAATCCGCTAAACCCTTTTCTGAAGATATTGCTGATCATTTCTTCTGGGTATGATGGCTTCCTCACCAATCAGGGTCACACTGATTTAGTGGTC